GCGACCCCATGGACAACGTTCCTCCAGGTCTTCTTGTCCTCTACCATCTTCTGGAGTCCATTTAAGTTCACACCTACTGCTTCAGTGACTCCATCCAGCCATCTCATTCTCTGTCGTCCCCTTCTTCTATTGCCCTCAATCTTTCCCAGCATTAGGCCTTCTCCAGTGAGTCCTTCCTTCTCATTAGGTGGCCAAAGTATTTGAGTTTCAACTTCAGGATCTGGCCTTCTAAAGAGCAGTCGGGGTTGATCTCTTCTAGGACTGACCGGTTTGAACGCCTTGCAGTCCAAGGGACTCGCAGGAGTCTTCTCCAGCACCATAATTCAAAGGCCTCAATTCTTTTGCGCTCAGCCTTTCTTATGGTCCAACTTTCACAGCCATACATTGCAACTGGGAAAACCATGGCCTGGACTATACGCACTTTTGTTGGCAGGGTGATGTCTCTGCTTTTTAGAATGCTGTCTAGATTTGCCATAGCTTTCCTCCCCAGGAGCAAGCGTCTTTTAATTTCTTGGCTGCAGTCCCCATCTGAGGTGATCTTGGAGCCCAGAAAAATAAAATCTGTCACTACCTCCATTTCTTCCCCATCTATTTGCCAGGAATTGAGAGGGCCGGATGCCATGATTTTGGTTTTCTTAATGTTGAGTTTCAAGCCAACTTTTGCACTCTCCTTCTTCACCCGCATCAAGAGGCTCTTTAGTTCCTCTTCACTTTCTGCCATTAGAGTGGTATCATCTGCATATCTTAGGTTGTTGATATTTCTCCCGGCAATCTTAATTCCAACTTTTGATTCATCTAGCCCTGCCTTTCTCATGATGTGCTCTGCATATAAGTTAAATAGGCAGGGCGACAGTATACAGCCTTGCCGGACTCCTTTTCCAATTTTGAACCAATCAGTGGTTCCGTGTCCGGTTCTCACTGTTGCTTCTTGACCCGCATATAGGTTTCTCAAGAGACAAATGAGATGGTCTGGTACTCCCATCTCTTTAAGAACTTGCCACAATTTGTTGTGATCCACACAATCAAAGGCTTTTGCATAGTCAATGAAGCAGAAGTAGATGTTTTTCTGGAACTCCCTAGCTTTCTCCATGATCCAGCGTATGTTGGCAATTTGATCTCTAGTTCCTCTGCCTCTTCGAAATCCTGCCTGTACTTCTGGTAGTTCTCGATCCACATACTGCTGGAGTCTAGCTTGTAGGATTTTAAGCATAACTTTACTAGCATGTGAAATGAGTGCAATGGTGCGATAGTTTGAACATTCTTTGGCATTGCCTTTCTTTGGAATTGGAATGTAAACTGACCTTTTCCAATCCTGTGGCCACTGTTGAGTTTTCCAAATTTGCTGGCAAATTGAGTGTAGCACTTTTACTGCATCGTCTTTTAAGATTTTGAATAGCTCAGCTGGAATACTGTCACCTCCACTAGCTTTGTTGTTGCTCAGATTTTCTAAGGCCCATTTCACTTCACATTCTAGGATGTCTGGTTCGAGGTCAGTGACCATCTCATTGTGGTTATCTGGGATGTTAAGCTCATTCTTGTATAGTTCTTCTGTGTAGTTTTGCCATCTCTTCTTAATCTCTTCTGCCTCTGTTAGGTCTCTGCCATTTTGGTCCTTTATCATGCCCATCTTTGCATGAAACGTTCCCTTCATATCTCCAATTTTCTTGAAGAGATCTCTGGTCCTCCCTATTCTGTTGTTTTCTTCTATTTCTTTGCACTGTTCATTTAAGAAGGCATTCTTATCTCTTCTAGCTACTCTCTGGAATTCTGCATTCAATTGGGTGTATCTTTCTCTTTCTCCTTGCCTTTCGCTTCCCTTCTTTCCTCAGCTATTTGCAAAGCTTCCTCAGACAGCCATTTTGCTTTCTTGCATTTCTTTTTCTTTGGGATGGTTTTAGTTGCTACCTCTTGTACAATGTTGCGAACTTCCATCCATAGTTCTTCAGGCACTCTGTCTATCAGATCTAATTCCTTAAATCTATTTGTCACCTCTACTGTATATTCATCAGGAATATGATTTAGTTCATACCTGAGTGGCCTAGTGCTTTTCCCTACTTTTTTCAATTTAAGCCTAAATTTTGCAACGAGAAGCTCATGATCTGAGCCACAGTCAGCTCCTGGTCTTGTTTTTACTGACTGTATAGAGCTTCTCCATCTTTGGCTGCAGAGCACATAGTCAATCTGATTTCTATGTTGACCGTCTGGTGATGTCCATGTGTAGAGCCGTCTCTTGGGTTGTTGGAAAAGAGTGTTTGTTATGACCATCGTATTCTCTTGACAAAATTCTATTAGCCTGTGCCCTGCTTCATTTTGTACTCCAAGGCCAAACTTGCCTGTTATTCCGGTTATCTTTTGGCTTCCTACCTTAGCATTCCAATCCCCCATGATGATAAGGACATCATTTTTTGGTGTTAATTCTATAAGGTGCTGTAGGGCTTCATAGAAACTGGTCAATTTCATCCTCTTCAGCACCAGTGGTTGGGGCATAGATTTGGACTATTGTGATATTGAATGGTTTGCCTTGGATTCGAATTGAGATCATTCTGTCATTTTGGGGATTGTATCCCAGTATTGCTTTTCCTATTCTTTTATTGACTATGAAGGCTACACCATTTCTTCTGAGGGATTCTTGCCCACAGTAGTATACCTGATGGTCATCTGAGTTAAATTCACCCATTCCTGTCCATTTTAGTTCGCTGATTCCTAAGATGTCGATGTTCAGTCTTGTCATCTCTTTTTTGACTACATCTAGCTTGCCTTGATTCATGGATCTTACATTCCAGGTTCCTATGGAGAAAAAATCTTTACAGCATCGGACTTTCCTTTCACCACCAGATATATCCACAGCTGAGCGTCCTTTCGGCTTTGGCCCAGTCGCTTCATTCTTTCTGGCGCTACTAGTACTAGCCCTCTGCTCTTCCCCAGTAGCATATTGGACACCTTCCGACCTGAGGGGCTCATCTTCCAGCGTCATATCTTTTTGCCTTTTAGTACTGTCCATGGGGTTTTCATGGCAAAGATACTGGAGTGGTTTGCCATTTCCTTCTCCAGTGGATCACATTTTGTCAGAACTCTCTGCTATAACCTGTCCATCTTGGGTGGCCCTGCACGGCATAGCTTATAGCTTCATTGAGTTACGCAAGCCCCTTCGCCACGACAAGGCAGTAATCCATAAAGGGGAACCTCTCTAATAGAAAGCACTTATTAACTGACTTTGGAAAATCTCTGATTTTCCCAGAAGCTACTCAACATCCAACAGACAGTACCTCTTATTGGTTGGTTGGTTACTTGTACCTCAAGAAACCAATCTGATTTTTAAGAGTAAGCACAATAACCTCTGTGATCATTCTCCCTTTTTCAGTACCTCTGCTTTATCTATTTCATTTTAAATTTATCAGTCTCATTTAGACTTCCAAAAATATCCTTACAGCATTTGCTATTTCATTTGGATAGTAGGAAAAAATCTTGCCTGTCATCTTAATATTGATGACATTTTATTTCAGAACTCTTTAACAGCCACTCACAATGGCTTTAGTGACATAAATTATCTTCAGGTATCTTCTAAAGCATCTAAGAACTATATGTTCTTGGAGCTAAATAACATATTTATAAACCTTCTAGTGTAACTTAGCTGAGATGGGAAAGAATGTGTGTAGAAATAGGATTGATAAATAAATAAATAAATATTTACATTGCAAGACTGATTTTTCACCTGTTTGAAGAATGGAATTGTGTTGTCAGATGTAAAATAAACACAGCCTCTCATATGCACTATAAATTTAACTGTTTAACAGTCTCAATTGTACAATTTCACATGGATTTAGGAAAAAATAATAAATGATAGCTTACAATTTGTTGGGAATGATTGATTATGTGCCAAGTGTACATCTATATGTTTCCAAATTCTCACTGACTTTATTCTTATTTCAGTCAATCTATTCAGTCAATCTACCACCCACTACATTGGGTAGTATTATATGTCAACAAGCTGGCCAGGCAGCCAGACCAAAACTAGAAGGGTGAGAAAGGTCAGGAGACTTCTGAGGTGTGAAGAAAGCCTTATTTTTCTATAACAGAAGCACTAGCTATGTCCTCCAAAATCCAAGGTGTTCTGGCTCTTATACTGCCTAAATGTTAAATATTGCTGGCAAACATTTCAGAAGAAAAGTTGCAGCTGTAAGGACACATTTTTCATGGAACAGTGAAGATGACATAGTCAGAATGTGAAGAAAGTGTCACTGGTTTAAAGGATCAAAAAGCATATGTCTATCAATCACACAATTGGAAATGAAGTTAATGTGATGCACTTCTTAGTTTGGGCAGTTTATTTGTACTGCATCATATATGGCTGCGGAACAACTTTTGATTTATGCTGGAATGATCATTTAAGAAAAGGATTGCTTTCCAAACCTAAGGCAATATTCCAGATAAATGGAATATTATTAACTATAATACCACTACAGTACATCAATTTTCACATATTTTATTTCCCTGTCATCTTGAACAATGAACACAGATCTGGATAACAGTAGAATTGAGGAGTGGATGAAGATTAAGCAAGCACAAAAATGATAAGGGTTATAAATAAGAGAAAGTACCAGGAGAGAATCTGAACTTTTCACTTTAAATCAAAATTAAAACAAGAAAACCAAAAGAGAAAAATAAGTTCCTAAATCATGTGGAAGAACTGATTAAGAAAATTGGGTCGTCCATTCAAAAAGAAGTGGGTTAGTAAGTAGTAAAATTTTTAGAAACAATAAAGGGCAATAAATAACAGGATGCCAATTCATTCAAAAAGTATAAGTCTGGATATGAATTTATTTAGCTTAAATTACTTCCTGGTTACTTCAATGTCTCCTCTTTTGGGGCAGTGAATTTTTCTTGTGGTTTTTTTTTTTTTTTTTTTCAGTACTACTGACAAAAACCTGGAGGAAATAAAATAGATTACTCATGGTAATCATCATACCCCATTTATTGCTTTTTTCTGTTTCTTTTCCTAGGTTTAAGGAGTTCATATGCTAGTCAACATAGTCAACTTGGACAGGAGTTACGTTCTACTGTATCTCCTGATTTACATATCAGTCCCATTTATGAAGGTAGACCTTATTATAGTCCAGTGTACCACAGTCCAAGCCATGGAACAGGTGATGTACCCCAAGGATCTCAAACGGCATTGTATCGAACTGGCTCAGGTAAGTTTGAAACAGATATTTCTCTGTTATCCTAGAACAGTGGTTCTCAACCTGTGGGTCGAGTACAGTACAGGAGATGGATAATCCACGGATGGGTTTTCTCTGTCTGCCTGCTCTTGAGACCAAGTAGCCAAAGCTTGACACGCCCCCACTTCCTGTGGAGTCCATTCTTAACTTGGTCTCTGCTCGAAGAAGACTCGTTTTGGCGTGGCTCTCAGCTTATCAGGTTAGACAAGAAATCCATTGATTGATTATCCCTTGATAATTGGCTTCCCCTTCCAAAAAAATTGCCACCTATAGGAATTTAACCACAAAATTTTCTGGGGATCAGTCCTGATCTCAAACCTAAAATTAAAAAGGGGATTGGTGGGGAGGGAAATTTCCCCACAGATATCAGCCAGCCCCAGGGTTCTGGGGGGTGAAAAGGGGGGGAAGAAGGCATCAGCAGAGACTACTTGCTGAACCTTTTCCCCAACCACTAAGTTTTCCTTGGGATCATCCCTGATCCTATATTAAAATTGAAAAAGGGGGTGTGGGGGGGGGAACTCCCCACGGATCCCAGTCAGCCCCAGGGCTCTGGAGGTGGAAAAGGGGGGGGGAAGGCATCAGCAGAGACCACTTGCTGAGCTTTTCTCCCCAACCTTCCAAGGGATTTTTTCCTCAAATTGGGGGAAAAAATAACAATCTCCAGGTCCGGATTCAAACTTGAATTCGGATCATCGGAGATTCCCTAGCAGCCCAGGGCAACCGCGGGCGCCATTTTAGTTGCCGTTTTCAGACAACAAAGGCAATCCCTGACTGGGATTCCCTTAAAACGTCACCAGCGCGCCAAATTTAAATCCCCGGGCACAAGCAGCTTCTGGGAGGCTGCGGAGCTTATTTTCAGAGGGAAACGAGCCGCGGCCACCCTCCTTTTTAAAAAGCCGAAGCACAGGAAGGGAGTAAACCCCAACCAAGAAACGGAGGCTAGAGAACCCTCTGGGATCCGCAAAGCCCGTTTTCAGGGAGAAACGAGCTGCGGCTGCCATCTCTTGCCAGAGAAAGGCAAACCGAGCTTAAGGAAGCTCTACATCATATCTGGAATCACTGATAGAGGCGGAATAGGAGCACACAACCAGCGCTCCACCCCCGATGACAAAATATAATAATAATAAAAATAGATACATAAATTTTAAAAATAATAATAATAATAATTAAAAAAAATTTTTTTTTAAAGCTAAAAATTAAGCGACTGCAGGGCCAACAGGCCTAAAGGCAGAACACACAATATTATCATCATCACCATTATGGTTGTTGTTGTTATTATTATTATTATTTTATTATTGTTGTTGTTCCTATTATTAGTATAATAGTAATAGTATTAATAAGAATAAATTCTGCTCTAGGTGACCGCCATTTGATACCTGTTGTGTATTAAGTCAGGCCTACAGACCCTTTTGAGGTCGCCACTGATATTTTTTGCCTCCCTTTTCCTTTTTCTACTGGTGCACGTTGCCTGGTCACCTAAGGCCTCCGGGCGGAACCCAAAGAGTGGTTCCAAACGTGCCTTTGGTACCTCCCTCAGCTACCGTGACCTTAGCCCAGAGAGAATATTTTTGTTGTGGTCGGGTGATCAGGGGACTTGTTCTTTCCAATACTTGCCTGCCTGAGCGTCTTCTCAGTTTTTCTGGGACTGCTCAAGCGGAATGGAGGGACCCTCGTTGCCTCAATCCATGAGCACGACCCCTCCATCTCCCAATTACGGCTGCAACACACCTTCTGACCAGAAGGCGGCAGGCAAGTGCAAAGCGAAGACAAAACACTCGCTCAAGAGGCCCTCCAAGTTGGCGGAAAAGCAAGCCAGCCGTAGGCACCAGGCCCTGGAGAAGGAGTTCTCCAGAGCGCAGAGGCAGGCCCAATTGGAATTGGTTCAAATAGCGGCCACCGAGATGGAATTACCATTGGGTCCATCCACATCAACCCAGAGCGCGTGGTCCATTCCAGGAACACCGCAACCACTGGATCCGCCATCTACATCAGCCCAACAAACAACCACGGCGGCAGGCACAACCACTGAGTCCAACTCTCCACCTGCGGTCACCACACCCAAAGATAATGACATAGGGGACATCTGGGCAGATGGACGGCTAGAGGCCCTATTAACCAAAGTGGTGGACCGAGCCCTAGCACAACGCTCCGCCCACCACGACCAGGGGCCCTCCATCTCAGCCATGCCACACTCGGAACTCCCCTCAGAGTCCTCAGGCATTCAGGAACCCGTCTCCCCGGCCCAGTCCTCCATGAGTGGTTATTCTTCACCACAAGAGGAGGATCAACCTGGGATCTCTATGTCAGAGGATGAGGAACTTCCCCCTGAGCCCCCCTCAGGGGGATTATTTAATCCCAACCGCTTCCTCACGATACTACGCAAGGCCACAGCCATTGCGGACATGGGGACGGATCAGTTTTCTCAGCCGCAAGCGACACCGGCCACCACATCCAGACCCGTATTCGTAGAAAAGGTGACAACGCAACACCATATACCTTGCCCTGCCATTTTCCTGAAAGGGATCAAGAAGCCATGGGACTCTCCCGCTTCCTTCCCATCAGTGAGTGGTACGGACAAAAAATTATACAGCACTGCCACAGACCTCAATGAGGCCTTAGAAATTCCTAAAGTAGATGAAGCCTGGACCCCCTTGGTCTCCCAGACAGCCATGGCTGGGGACCTAGTGGAGGCCCTTAAGGCAGATGACAAAAAGTGGGAACAAGCCTTTCGCAAAACCCACCAGACAGCGGCATGGGCCATCAAAGCAGCCACCTCGGCCTCCTTTTTTGTCCGGGCCACCCTCATCTGGTTGCAACAACTACAAACCATAGTTCCTATGGAGGACATACGAACACACCAGGACCTGGCTAAGATGGTAGCAGCCACGGAATACGCTGCAGACGCAACGTTCCAATCGGCCATTTTTTCATCCAGATCCATAGCATCCAACATAATTGCCAGGAGAATGCTATGGCTAAAACACTGGCAAGCTGACACCAAGGCTAAGTGGCGGCTAGCGACCGCCCCTTACTCAAGCAACGGTCTGTTTGGGGAGGCCTTGGACCCCTATCTTGTAGAGAACAAAGACAAGCGGAAGGTCATGGCACACTTGAACAAAAGGTCAGACAAACGTACCACACCTTACTTTCGTAGGCAGTCCTTTCGCCAACCGACAACCACGCCTATCAGTCAGGCACCCAAGCCATTCACTCCCAGGCAGAACAAACCGTACGGCCGCCCCTACGACAGACCGGGGTTCCAGCCCAGACAACAAAACCAGTCGAGACGACCCTTTCGTGGAACGGGTCGTCCGTACCGGAAGACAAAATGACTCCTACATAGACCTACCCATTGGAGGAAGACTAGCTCACTTCTTCCACCAGTGGGAGCAGACCTCCACGGACAACTGGGTACTACAAACCATCCAGTCCGGGCTGTCCCTGGAGTTCCTGGTCACACCCCCAGACCGACTCATCAACTGCTCGGTCTCCAGGAACCCCACCAAATGCAAACTCATGCAGGAGGCCATCCAACACCTGTTGGACATTCAAGCCATAGAACCGGTCCCAGCGGAATACAGAGGCAGAGGATTTTACTCCATCCTCTTCGTGGTTCCAAAGACTTCAGGAGGATGGAGGGCAATCCTGGACCTAAAAAACCTCAACCGCTACATCACATACAAAAAATTCAAGATGCAATCCCTTCAGTCCATCCTGGGAAGCATCAGAGAAGGAGACCTCCTGGCATCGATAGACCTCACGGAAGCCTACCTTCACATCCCCATCCACCCAAACCACCGCCGGTTCCTACATTTCTGTTACGGGGGAAAACACTTCCAATACAGAACTCTCCCCTTCGGTCTATCTTTGGCACCCAGGGTATTTACCAAGATACTAGCAGCGGTAGCCGCCAAACTGAGAAAAATCCCAATACGCGTCCAATGTTACCTAGACGACATACTAATCCAAGCAACATCCCTACAGACAGCTCAGGCGGACGTAAGGACCGTCATTCGCGTCCTCCAATTACACGGATTCTCAGTAAACTTTCAGAAGAGCCAGACAGTTCCCTCGTCCAGGCTGCTGCATCTGGGGGCCATGATAGACACAACCAACTGTATGGTCTATCTCTCCCAAGACCGGGTGGCCGGCATCAGGGAACTGGCTCGCTGGGTTCACAGGCAACGTTCAGTTCCGATACTAACACTTTCCCAATTATTGGGCAAGATGGTATCGGCCATAGCCATTGTACCCTGGGCCAGGCTCCACCTATGGGAACTACAGTGGTTTCTGCTCCCTTACCAACGGCAGAACACCAGCGCATCCAACCACCTAGTCAGGGTCACGGCACAAATCCGCAGGGCGCTACGCTGGTGGTGCTCTCGGGCCGTGACCAAGGGGTCACCCTTCAAGGAACCAGTCAGAGTTACCATCACTACAGACGCCAGTCTGTATGGTTGGGGAGCCCATCTGGACTCCCAGTTTGTACAGGGACGTTGGTCCGCCACGGATCTGAGAAACAACATCAACTGGCTAGAACTCAGGGCTATCCACCTAGCCTTGCAACAATTCAAAGACAGAATCAGAGGCCACCACGTTCTAGTCCTAACAGACAACGTAGCAGCCAAGGCGCACATCAATCGGCAGGGGGGGACCAGATCAAAAACCCTGATGACAGAGTCACGACTCCTATTCAGCTGGGTAGAGCCCAATCTGAAGTCACTAAAAGCGGAACACATATCGGGGGTCAACAACCAGCAAGCGGACTTCCTAAGCCGCACCACAGTGGACCCTTCGGAGTGGGGGGCTACACCCGAACTTGTTCCTAGACATCTCCCGCAAGTTCGGGTACCCGATCCTCGATCTGTTCGCATCATCAGACAATGCCCAGCTCCCCAGATTTTACTCTCGTTACCTCAACCCACGAGCAGAGGGGACGGACGCTCTGAGAACTCAGTGGCCTCAGGGTCTGCTTTATGCCTTTCCCCCACTACCACTCATACCGGCGGTCATCCGCAAGCTGATTCAGGAGCGGGCAGAAGTGATCCTAGTAGCACCATATTGGCCACAGAGACCGTGGTTCGCCAACCTGATGAACCTGTCTCAGTCGCCCCCATGGAACATTCCCCCTCATCAAGTGTCCCTACACCAGGGAACCATCAGTCACCCGGAACCCCAATGGTTACAACTGACCGCCTGGCACTTGAGCGCCAGATAATGGCACAGGAACTATTCTCTCCCGGGGCCATTACCATAATTCAAGCTTCACGCCGTCCGGCAACAAACCGCATTTATGACTCCACTTGGAAAAATTTTTGCCTTTGGTGCAGGGAACGGCAGTTTGACTTACACAAACTCTACATCCCTCAGATAGTAGATTACCTCTTGGAGGGACTAGACAGAGGCCTCGCCCCCGCGACCATCCGCAGGCAAGTGGCGGCCTTGTCCACCCTCCTCACCTGCACGGATTCGGTTCCCTTAGCTCACCACCCCAGGATCCGCGCCTTTATCAAGGGCGCCTATAACACCAGACCTCCAGTAATTCACAGGTACCCGTCCTGGGAACTACCGCGAGTCCTTCACGCACTCACTCGGTCACCATTTGAACCATTGGTGACCGTTTCCTTGCGACACCTGTCGCTAAAGGTGGCGTTCCTGATTGCCATCACATCGGCCAGACGAATTTCGGAACTGGCCGCACTGTCAGTCAGAAACGACCTATGCATTTTCCACAAGGACAGGGTGGTCCTTAGGTTAGATCCTGCCTTCATACCGAAGGTGAATTCACTCTTTCACAGGACACAGGAAGTAATTCTCCCAAACTTCTGTCCAAATCCAACACATGACCGGGAGCGGCAGTGGCATACATTGGACGTCCGCAGAGCCTTGCGGTGTTATATAAAGCGTACAGAACCCTTCCGCAAATCGGAGGCCCTGTTTGTGTCCTTCCAAGCGGGCACCTTGGGGCGGAAAGTTTCCGCGGGCACCATTGGAAGGTGGATCCGAAGCTGTATCGCAGAAGCTTACAATGTATCATCCCTGCCGCCCCCAAGTCATCTCACAGCCCATTCCATCCGAAGCGCTGCAACTTCGGCGGCATGGGCTACCCAGGCGTCAATCGAGGAAGTTTGCAGGGCCGCGACATGGTCCTCGCCTTCCCCGTTTATACGACACTACAAGATAGACCGCTTTGCATCGGCGGACGCCTCCTTTGGCAGGAGGGTCCTCCAGCAAGTTGTCTCAGAGATCAATCTACCGGCCTTATCTGTATCCCACCCCTTGGGACAGTGAGGCTTTGGTACGTCCCATCTGTGGATTATCCATCTCCTGTACTGGAGAAGGGGCGTTGGTCTTACCTGAACGCCTTTTCTCAGTACGGAGATGGATAATCCACACCCACCCCAAGGCCAGCAGGCCGCTAGTAGGGAGCTGAGAGCCAATACCTCGTCAATCATCAGCCAATTCGCCCTCGTTAAGAATGGACTCCACAGGAAGTGGGGGCGTGTCAAGCTTTGGCTACTTGGTCTCAAGAGCAGGCAGACAGAGAAAACCCATCCGTGGATTATCCATCTCCGTACTGAGAAAAGGCGTTCAGGTAAGACCAACGCCCCTTCTCTGTTATCCTAGAACAGTGGTTCTCAACCTGTGGGTCGGGACCCCATTTGGGGTCGAACGACCATTTCACGGGGTCGCCAAACAAGGCTGTCTGCCATTTTTCCCCCTTTTCTTTGGCCACGCCCCTGGCACCCGGTGATGTATAAGTGATTGGGGGTCACCACAACATGGGAAACTATATTATGGGGTCACGACATTAGAAAGGTTGAGAACCACTGTCCTAGAACCTCTGCACCAGCGTTATATTCTTATGTTGTGGTTAGATTCATATTCAACCTTTCCTTCAGAAACGTAGTATAAAGTAAGCTGATTTAGAGATAATTTGCTGTGAGGTTCAAACCAATGAGTTGAAATTGATCCTCTTCTAGTTCAACATTCTACTCATTTCACAGTGTTGACTGTGTAATTATGTATATATAACTGCAGCTGCTACTTGTTTTTTAACTATAAAGATGGAGAGCTCATACCCACACACTCACCAGGCCCTTTGGGTTCTTTAAGCACTCTTTCATTACACTGCTAGAATTGACAGCAAAATGGCTGAATTTCAGCCTGTTTTTCACAGGGTTACACTTCCTAATCTTTTTTAAAACTCCCCAAAGGACAAAAAAAAAAAAAATCCCAGACAAAAGTTTTGGCCATACCTTTTCCAGCTGCATCGCAATACTGTAGATTGCCTTTTGCAGCCTTTCGTAGCACCAGGAAACAAAATTGTCACCTTCTGAAAATTACTTAACAGCCTTATGGCTCTATTAAGGCACATTGAATTTATATTAGACTTTTTTGCTTTATGGCTTTTTTACTTTACTCTCATTTAATATAGAATTTCAACAATGTTCATACATTTTGATAAAAAGTATAAAACAGTGTAAAGATTAAATCCTGTTTAATGTGAATGCTTAGTGAAAAAAATAGTATTTTGCTTTTAAAAAAATCCAAAGCAAATTCGGAGGAGATGTTGAGATTTTCAGGGAGGAAAGTGTAGGAAAGTATTATCGTAGGCCAAATTTATTTTACTTCTAAACAAGTCATTAACCAAATGCATTATTTATTACAGACCAAATCCGGTTTTTGTCATGGCTAATTTATATTCCATTAATTTTAGTTGATTAACTTCAAAGAAGGGCTAAATTTGGATCTAGCTCTCTCTGTTTATCACTTTTATGACTAATCCATTTTGAAGATACAGAATAAGAAATTAAAAGGTCAATCAGTACTGAAATTAAACTTCAAAATATTTTTTTAAGTAAGACTGTACCCTCCATCCTAAAATAAGTTACCTTAAGGAAGTTCATAGAAGGAAATACATTAACTATTCCTCTCCTTTGAATCCCATAAAAACCTTCTGAAGATTGTAGAGATCTATGACAAGCAATATCAGGAAAGGCATTGTGGAATTTGTCTCTCACATAAGCCCTCCTCCACTGTGTAAACAATACCATTCATATTTATTTAGCAATAAACCTTAAATGTTGACTAATGCTTGGTTGCAAATATATTTTATGTGAGCAGTAATAGGACAGGTTTATTACCCTTAATTGTCTACTCTTGGACTGCCCATAAGCATTTGATTGTTTCAGCAGAAAAAATAATGATGAATCTAGGAGCTGTTAGTCCAGTGTTTCTCAATCTCAGCAGCTTTAAAATGTGTGGACTTATCCCTCCTCTCCTCCCAACATGTTGGCTAGGGGAATTCTGAAGGTTTTGAAGCCCACAAGTCTTGATATTGCCGATGTTGAGAATCACTGCATTAGTCTGATGCAGGGAGTTTTTTTATAATGCTATAGTCTGCTTAGCTACATTTTTCACAAACCAATAGAGAGAGAAACATTCAATATATTTTTAATATTCTTGAAAAGGAATTAAGAGAAAGACAACAACGAAGAATACATGCCGGTATCTGTGTATACTATATGTGTTTTAACCGTACAGAGGAGTATTCTCATAATTATTTGGTATATCAGGTGTTGGAAATCTTCAAAGATCATCTAGTCAGCGTAGCACTCTTACATACCAAAGAAATAATTACGCGCTGAACACATCAGTTACCTACGCAGAACCCTATAGGTCACTTCATTATCGGATGTCTGAATCGAATTATAACAGGATGCAACATGCAGTCCCTGCTGATGATGGAACAACACGATCTCCCTCTATAGACAGCATCCAGAAAGATCCCAGGCAAGTATAAATGATATTTTAATCAGTTACGGACAATTAGCACAAGAGTAATAAAGATAAATCCTTAAGTGATTCCTTGAATTTCATTTTTAGTTTTTCACCTCTGATTTAATTTAGCTAAATTTAGTTACCGATATCCAAAAATTCAAACTATTGTTGGATTTAAATACACATTCTCAAAGTCACCTCTCTTAGGGGCTAACTAATAAATGTCATAAAATAACAGTGCATTCATTCTTTCCTTTGAATTTTCTTATCTACTGAAGAGAATTTGCATGGCGGGATCCAGAGTTGCCAGAAGTCATTCATATGCTTCAACACCAGTTCCCATCAGTTCAGGCCAACGCAGCAGCCTATCTACAGCACCTATGCTTTGGAGATAATAAAGTAAAAACTGAGGTATGGAACAGGTCTTACTGATCAACTGTCAGTGAAGAATATTCTATAACTATTAGAACATGTGGCTTAATATTGAAATACTCATCAGGTTAGACACTGTAAACTCTATGAACTGAGAAACCTTGTAATGGAAATATAGTCATGCTTTTAAGCTTTATTATGGTCAGTAGAAAAACATTGTGCAATTAGCTATTTCCCTCATTAACATTATAATTTGCTCATACACTTAGACGCAAACCCTGGTGATTTTTGTGGAACATTTCTAAATATTTGCATATAAGGCTAATGGAGATTTTTAAAATCTCAATTTTCTCGGTGTGGCTCTTTAAAACAAGTATATGAATATTTATGAAGTTTTTAGTGAAATTTATGCATATATGAAATGGAAGGAAAAATAATACTACAAAGAATAGTGTTTAACTTCGAATTACTTGAAAGTATGCTTTCCAGTATTAGCTGCCACCTCTTAAATATTAAAGAAATCCATCTCTCTGGACACTTCTCTCCTGTGTTCACAATACAGTATTTATATAAGGAAGTATATATACAAAGATAATCTTGTTAAGCCAGTTTCAAAATAAACAAATTGACAGGTGTTTCTAGTTTTGTTTTTCATGCTTTCTCTATTTATAAGGGAATTTTAAAACCCCAGTGCAGACTTTTGCAGATTTTCAAATCTAAGACAAAAGCATGAATATTTTCTTAGATTTTATCCTTAGCGATTCAAATAGCAAGTTTATTTATACAGAGATGGGATTTACTCATTAATCTTGAGCTCAGTTGAGACTGAAGCATCGCTATGAATAACAGACATAATTTGAACTATATTATTTCCAATGTTTGCTTTCCAGTAGGAGATAAGCAAGCCATCTTGGCAACACAAAATATACTACATTATTTTTGTTCCTATGTTTTTTCTTTCTTTCTTTTTTTAAGTTAAAAATCCCCTTGGCCAATTTCTCTGTAGATAAGTAGCACAGATTACCTTGTCTTCTCATAACATTTTGATCAAAGTTCCTTCAAATTAGTTACATCTGTAACACTGACAAGATGAGAGCTATCTTTAGGTTTTGATAATTAATATATTATTATTAATAATAATAATAATCCCAAATGAATGGAGCACCACTTGAAAACCATTGGCATTAACAAATTCACCATCAGCCAATTGCAAAAGTTGGCTTTACTCAGAACAGCTTACAACCTGCAATGATATCTGTAACACCATCGAACATCCACATCTGCCTATCCCAGGTCCTTGGAAAAGACTCGATAGGTAAACAGAAATTCCAAATCCAGTCTGAACATCTGGCTGACTGTGTGACAATCCATAATAACAACAGAAGCACTTGTGAATAATTATTAAATAATTTTTCTGAGTTAAAGGCCATGCAGGATTTCAGAGGCTATGAAAGCAAAATACAATGTACACAAGTATTAACTCTAACTTGCTGATAGTAACACTTAAAAAAAAAAAGCCCAGTAACCAGAAAGGCTGGCAGAAATGTAGCTGCAAGCAATCTTTATCAGCATCCTTATTTGCTGCTTTCTTTTCAGCACTCCATTCTTACATCTCTCCATTACAATAACTCCAAACCAATAGTACTGAGTACATGATTGGTGTATCCTACTCTACTGACTGAACTAGAAAAACTTCGAGGGGAGGGGAATCCTAATCACAAAACTCAGACAGCCCTTGAAACACCTACAATGGAAACATTTGAAGCAGCTAATTTTGTGAATAAAACTCTACATTTTATTCCAATCTTAAAACAAAACTCATGTCCTTTGCTTTGAGCACTTGAAAAGGTCATGTTTATTATCATATATCTATAAACCGCTAGCAGGATATTTCATATAAAAATGATGCACTATATAATGCATATGCTATATATATTATATAGGGATTTGGATTAATGGCAATTTTCTGGATATTTCAAACTATAAACTTCAAGTTACCTTCATTAATATAAAGATGTTTGAAAAAATAATTTTCCCTAACAACTTTCTTTAACCTATTGTCTTTCAGAGGTGTTACACGATAACGTCCATCATCTGCAACCAGAGCAGCTAAATATTTGTGTGGCCAGGGATTGGGAATATTATTTTTACAGTCATATGAAAGATTTTAAGATTGAGAAAAGTGCATCTCTAAACTGTTGAGATAACAGCCAAGCATGTTTATAAAAATTACTATTAATGGGTTTTATTAAAATATCTGCAAATTATGTTTTAATTCCAGAACATTTATTTTAGCTGAAAATGGGGGGGGATGGCTAATACACACACTATACACAGCACTGTATTTCAATAAATTAGACATACTGTATATCCCCTAGAAATGCCAAATATTAAATAGGCAGACAGTAAGCTTGGTATGTGCAGCCTGTGTGAGAAAAATATATTTTTCCAGAATTTCACTTCACGTATTCACTGACTCCTCTATTCAATGTGTTTTATAGGTATGCAGATTAGGTGGAATTAAGCACTTGGTTGACCTGTTGGACCACAGAGTTCTTGAAGTTCAGAAGAATGCTTGTGGCGCCCTGCGGAACCTGGTATTTGGGAAATCTACAGATGAAAATAAGATAGCAATGAAAAATGTTGGTGGAATAGCTGCACTTTTACGGTTGCTAAGAAAATCAATTGATGCAGAAGTAAGAGAACTTGTCACAGGTAATTGCTAATAGATAGGAAATAAATGATTTATAGTCAGGTGCAATGAATATGTGTGCAAGAAAAAGCATTCCTTTGAAATAGCTCTTATTTATTTGAAAAAAAATATTTACTACAGCTCTAAGTTATGTCTGTTCGGTTCACTGAGACTTATACCAAAGTTAAACAACCTGGTTTCCTCCAGATGTTTTGTATATCGGCTCCTATCATTTCCTTATCAGTTCTGGTCATCATGTTCTTTTGTAAAGATCTGATGGTATAAGTGCTATTCAAAACAATTTATGATATCTTATATGTGAGTAAGTCTTACCTCTGGTTGGATAGGCATAAGATTGTATTTTGGGATCCTTGGTGCTCTCTGAGCTTGGTGGGTTTCTTGCAGATACTTCATTACCAAATTAAATAACTTCATCAGCGCTCATCAGCACTGATGATGTTACCTACTTTGGTAATAAAATGTCTGCAAGAAAACCACCAAGCTCAGAGAGCACCAAGGACCCCACAGTTCAATCCTGAACTACAAATAGTCTTCTCTATAAGATTGTATTGATAACTCAGGTAAAAATTTAAAATATTGCCTAAAAGCCTACAATCTCCAGAAATTATTTAAACAGTGTAAAATGTTTAGTATATATCTACCGTACTTTCTGGCGTATAAAACGACTTTCTCAAGCGTTAAAATCGGCACCAAAGTCTGGGGTCGTCTTATACGCCGGAAATAACGGTAGTTTCCGGCGTATAAGATGACTTTCTAGGCATGCAACTTGGCGCCGAAGACAGGGGTCATCTTATATGCCGGGTAACCTTATACGCCGGAATATATGGTATACGATTTCACTGTGTGTTCAGAGTGAGAAATGTGCTGTGTATTTTCTGCACGATAAAAATTCTGTTCTATTCTATTAATCTAAGCTTGTTTAAATATTTTTTTAATCCTTGGGTAGCTGGAATCTGGTGATATTTACAAATGCCAATAGGAAAGACTGATCCCCTAATTTGGGAAATATATTCTGTGAGAATCCAATGATGTAACCTTTTTTTGACACCAGCTAAATCTAAAATCTGTGTGCAGATTCACTTCCTCAACATCTTATTTTAAATTCAAGCACTGGCTTGAGAAACTAGAGGGTTTCTATCTTATGTGTAGCTTGTGCTCACAAACACTATAACTATTCACTTCAAAATAATCCCTTTCAAATTCAGAAATCTTAACTTCTGACCCACACAAATGAGTGTGGTTGGTTGATTGCAGTTTTAGAAAATTATTCATAGTGTTAGAAAACATTCACACATTTCGCACTACTTTACAGAGTGTGACACATGCATTAAGAATTAGCCAAACTGAATTTCTAGAATGCTGTTAGTTTTTGCAAGTTGTAAAGAACATGGAAATTTGCAATACATGGAGTAAATTAAAAAAGAGAGAGAACATATTTTTTTCTTTTTGCTTTCCTGCATCCTTGAAACATCTCTTTATTCAACTTTCAGTTCAGTAAATCTGCTACTTCTAACCTATTTACCTAAATCTGCTGCTTCTATTTAACCTGAAACTTTCAACTTCCTAGAAAGTTGTTCCATCACTGCTTAGTCATTCACTCTGAGTACTCACATACAGTGAGTTGACAACTATTTCCAGAATTTCTCCATTCCCAAAATAAGACAGAAACAAAGATCGTGATATAATTGCTTATGATAGAGAATAATCTTATATAGCTATTTTTGGTAGTTCCAATAATTGGAAAAAATAGGAGCTTGGAATTCTAGAAACATTATTTTCCAATCCTGGTATACCTCAGTAGTCAGAAAAAAAGATGGGAAAACACTGTTGTCCCTCTGAACAACAATATTGCAACTGCAGGTTATAGTGCTGCACAAGTCCTTAACTTACAAAGTTACAATGGACCTCCCCAGAGTTACTTATGACCCAGTTTCAAAATTAAGACAGTCAATCTCCCCCCCCACACACACACACACACATGTAGTGATGTAATTGTATTTTGGGCATTTGACAATTGGCCCACTTTTACAGCCATTTACAGTGTCTTGAGGTTACATAACCACAATTTACATTTTTTTTTTGCCAGAAACTAGTTTTACTTTCATTTCAGGCAAAAAAACATCCATTGGCTTAAACGGGTTTGCTTAAACACTGTGGTGTTCATTTAACAACCATGGATCATTTAACAACTGCCACAAGAAATCAGGCATGTTCACACGGTGACCTGCTTAATGACCAACACAATTCATGATCATAATTCTGGGTTCAATTACAGACATAAGTCAAGGTCTGCCTGTACTTATTTTTTCCCAGGATATTATACAAATATTCTTTCTTTACCATTTCATTCAGGACATTATTGAACTGTTGCTTATACTAACTACTTAGATGACAATTTGTTTTGGAAATTAAAGAAATTTAAAATTAAATTAAAAGAATACATAGATAGCATGATGTAGTTAAACTAGTCCTACTGGCAATTTAGTATATAACAAGGGCCAATTTTGGTCAGGGCCCATTTTCCATCCATGTCATGGATTATGCATATTGCCAAAGATTCTGAATATTCCATTACATAGCTAGAAGGTATGCATAATATTTTACCTAATATTCAGTGTAATATTTGTAATATTAACTCTAACGCTGCCATGATTCTCTCTGACTCTGGTATTCATGTTTTTCATGAATGATGATACTTAGTTGGATAATATATTGGCATGTAGGAATGATCTTGATGGATAAGAGAAAAAGATGTTGCCTAGAGCAGAGTTCTCCAACCTTTCCAGCTTTGCGAACTGGCTGGGGGGGGGGGGCGGCGCAGGATAGAGAGAATGGTTTTGCGTGAGTGGCAAGCAAATATGCAAACAATTCTATTTGTACAAGTGGGCGTACACGCCCACCTCTCATGCAAATGGAACGCCCGTGCTTTCCCACTGCTCAGCAAGTGGGGATCCATATGCATACACACGCGTTCGCCCTCCACTTCCGTGGCCTGGTTCCAAAGGGCTCAAGGCCCAGTAGTGGGCTATGGCCCATGAGTTAGGGACCCCTGGATTAGAGAATAATCAGCCAAGAGTGGGGGAACTCCCTAGTGGCTTAAGAGACAGAGAAAGAAACTTAGGATCAGGTTATTAAAAATTGATGGCAGAAGAATCTTACTTTCAGGCTTTCAAGATTCTGTCAATGTAGCCTTACAGTAAAGTAGATTTAGCTTATCCTGTTTCCTGCCTGGTTTACCTGGGAGGATTGGCAAGTAATCTTACTGAATAAATAAATAAAATAAATATTTTTACTTAATGAAGTTATCTAGTCAGGTAATGAAACATCTGCAAACAACTAAGCTCAGAGAACACTAAGCACTCCATAGTTCAGTCCTGAGCTATGTATATTCTCTTTTGATGGAGCCACATATGGATGTCGTACGCTTCAATAGGCACGCAAATGACAGAAATTTGCATGTAGGCAAACCTCCACCAAGGAATAACTATTCTTTCTGCACCAATGCCTACAACGGTTTGCCCTGCACACCAGCATCAGATGCAAATCTGCAATAAATTGCACTGCTGGATGGAAGACAGTTCAGCACAGCAGCCGGAAAATGACACAGCTAATAATCATAGATGCAGACTTCAGAATATTCTGATTTAAGTTTAATGTTAGGCTTATGTTAAAAATAAAACAGTGCTATAGGATGGGGGAATTGTATGCAGTTGGCATTTTACTTACATCAAGTGTTTGACTCTGCACATGCAAATTAACAGAAGAGCATAATTTCAAAGTAAACCAGAGTTTCCTGGTGTGTTACACCTGCAAGCGCAAGCAAGAATACATAATATTGCTGTAATTATGAATGCATGACTATTTATTTAAATATGTTCTTTACACATGGCTCTTTGGATTTCAGCTTGGTACATTTTGAGATGACATTGAAACTGATCTTAAGACATTTCCCCATTTTTTTATTAGAATTCTCATTGAAATTTCATTTATCCTCCTTTCTGAAGTATCTGCGAGAGTTATTAAGTTTGTAATAACTTAAGAACAGAATAATCCTACTTTTCAAACAATAAGGGAATATAAATCATACAGTCTAAAGCTGAATCAAAACTGGCAAGAAATGATACAGAATATTTTAGAGCCAACTGTCATTAAAGATTTTCATCATTTTAGAAGTGATTCAGGCAGTATGTGTCTTTTCCTATATCTTCTTTTTAGAATATGCAGTGCAAAGTGATTAGTTGCCTCAAGAAAAGAATATGAAGGCACCTGGACCAACATTTATTGTAGTGCCATTACTCATCAGTCGTATTTAGCATTGAGTACGAAAAATAGCACTTTCCATTTCTTCTGAGATATTAATGTAAGCATGTCAGTAATTAGTTGCAACTAAACCATGCCAAATTTAATTAAGTGTATTCTTGTTTGCAGCCCACCGTTTGCTGAATAATTGCCCCAAATCTTTGTAAATAAAGACTTTCTCCTCCAAATGTCTGCTACAGGTAGTCCTTGCTTAAGTACCACAATTGGGTCCGGCAATTCTGTCATAAGCAATATGGTCATTAAGTAAGATATCACATGACCACAACAGACTTACTTCCTCCGTGGTTGTTAAGCAAATCATCCACAATCATTAAACAAGACATGACTGCCTTGCGATTTTATTGCTGGCTTCTCTGTTGACTCTGCTTGTTGGAAGCTGTCCTTAAGAAAGGACTACATCTATTATGCAAATGTAATTTTATTGGGACTGTAAATCTTTTGCCTTTTCCATATCTATAATATGTACAAGGGAAGGAAGAGAGAAGGGAAACAGACTTTTTAACATGTTCACACAATATGTTGCCTAACATTAGGTTTGAATTGGTAAAAGAATGGAAATCATATTTTATAAAAATTAACTCTTCACTTTCTTTACAGGTGATTCCTACTGGTTAATTGGATATTATGAAATGAAATTATAATGAAAGAGATCAATTATAACAAAATCAATTCTCAAAATTCTTCCAATTTTTCATATTCTGGAAAGACTAGTACCCATTTCAAATACTGGAGAGGTTATTTTAAATAGCACTGTCAAGGCAACATTTAGGGATTTTTTTTTTACTTCAGATTTTATTTGTGGCATTCCTATTTATACCAAGAAAAAAAAATGGTTGAATAATTATATCCATAAAATTAATAAATATTATAAAAACAATTCAATAGAGTGATGAATTATAACAAAGGAAGTATTTGGATGGGAGTATTAGTGATTCATATACAGAAAATCTCCCCAAAGTTTAGTCACAGATAAAACAGAAAGGATTCTGGGAAGGAAAGCTGACAGCTAATTTGATAGAAAGCATCCTATTTTTGCTGCCCTAATACTGACTTGAGATATGTTGACAGTGGAGAAAGAACCATAAAATGGGAAATGTTGGAATTATACATTCCTTCTTCGGTACCCAGATACTAACAGAATATTTGTTAAGAAGCGGCTGCTCAGAAGTTCCGATATTGGAAATATTTTATCTTTGTAGAACTATCTAAGGAAAAAAGTACATTGTTAAAAATGTTTGGACCAAAAAATATATTGCAATTTGGCGAAACAGATTATTGTTATTTCAGATTCTCTTCTTGTAAGTATTTGTCAAGTGTTAGGTTTGAACAGTGAAGTAAATATTAGCTCAGGAAGATTGTAAAAGAAAAAGCTATGCTGAAACCACTTCAACTCTCTCTTACAAACTATAGTGACTCAATTGGTGGTACACATTAGGTCAGGCTTATGATTGTAGCCATTAATGGGCTTTTATCTTCCATGAATTTGCTTCTTTTAAAGCCATTCAAGCAAGCAGTCATCAGGATATGCCAGCATGATTACCTAGTTTAACTGTGCTACTGTTTAAAAAAAAGTTATTTCTTGTCTGTTCTGAATCCCACACAGTTTGCTTCCTTGGATGACCCCACTGTTCAGAATTTTGAAAGACGAAGAAAGACTCATTTATTTTCTCCACACCACACTACACTGAGTACACTTATAATGATCGCCCTTATATGACTGTTTCTAGAGAAAAAAATCCTTAAATGTTTTTGTTTCAGGCTATGAATTAAGAGTATTATTTATAGAGCTACAGAAAGAAGGATAGGCTTTATTTGCAAATTGATACTGCAATTTTTCTTTTTCTTTTTGTCAATCTTTATGAAGATAAGGAATATAATTCCATTATATTCATTATTTATAAAAATAGCGTTGTAATTTCATCTACAATAAATCCATTATAGTGATTGCTTATGTTCTGATTCTTTGAAAAAAATAACTAAACTATTATTACACTGAATCAATCTTTAACAATATCTTGAGTCAAAAATTTTTACATATTTCCTAAATTACTCCTGCTCTGTACTTCCATTATAAATGGCGGGTCGCTGTTCCTTTCATTCCTTAGAACAGTGGTTCTCAACCTGTGGGTCGGGACCCCATTTGGGGTCAAATGACCATTTCACCGGGGTCGCCAAACCATGCTGTCCACCATTTTTTTCCCTTTTCCCTAGCTGTCCTACTCCCTCTTATTGGTGGCCATACCCACTTGGGGGGTCACCACAACATGGGGAACTGTATTATGGGGTCACGGCATTAGAAAGGTTGAGAATCACTGCCTTAGAACAATGATGGCGAACCTTTTAGAGACTGAGTGCCCAAAAACCATCCCAGCCCACCCGCCCCCACCCTGCAGCACCATGGTGGCCACAAGCTCCGCCTGTGCCCCGCAGCATCATCTGCGCAGCTGCCATGTGCTTGGCTGCGCTGCTCCGCGTGGGCCGCACCCGGGGTGACTCCTCTGGGGGGGCTACTGGTGAGGGGGCTGCGGGGGGAGGCGGGGCTGGGGCGACAGCATGCGTGCCCACAGAGAGCGCTCCGAGTGCCACCTCTGGCACTCGTGCCATAGGTTCGCCACCACTGCCTTAGAATATACAGAAATATATTGGAAAACCTTTATAAAGCAGTGCACAATGCTATATTTGTTTATTGGATTAAGTGGAGCTTACTGCAAAGAAAATGGATGTGGGATTGGTGTTTAGGTTGCATCAATCCACCATTTGCACTACAATCTTGTGCCATTCTAAGTTCTTTCCGATTTATAAAATCGTCAGTAGCTATGACACTTCATGTTTTATAGACCTAGTAAGAGCTCTTTCTTTGTAATATGTTTGGTGGCAGAACAAAAAACACATAGAAAAAAAGGATATTTTTTATGCTGTTCGATGTTGGCAATGGTTGCATTCCTATTAGAATAGCTGAGATTACAATCATTGGGTTTTGTTTTGTTTTTTAATGTATTGGGCTTACTGCTATGAGTTCTTTGATCTTTTGAAATGATAGCTGAAATTGATATGCCTCTTGATCTTTTCTGTTACAACCTGTGATATATCCTTATTCCAAAGGTGTCCTCTGGAACCTGTCTTCGTGTGATGCAGTAAAAATGACAATCATCCGAGATGCTCTAGCAACATTAACGAACAGTGTGATAGTTCCTCATTCTGGATGGAATAATTCTTCCTTTGATGATGATCATAAAATTAAATTCCAGACTTCTTTAGTTCTGCGCAACACAACAGGTTGTCTAAGGTAAAATCATAGTTTCATAATAATCATCTTAACTAATAAATGCTTATGCATCCTTTTCAACAGTTCGTTTTTGTCATTCCAGGTAATCTTTCTTTTCAGTAATGAAAGAAGTGCTGCAAATGTAGACACAAAGATTTAATATGAATCAAATAATCCTGTGTGCTTGATTAAATGCTCATTCAGATTTAGCCTTCACCGAGTTGATTTGGTCCAGATCAAAGTAGTAATTTATTTTGCAGCATATTATCAATGTTTGTATGGTTTTTATTAATGCAAGCATTGCAAGATTAAAACAAAGTACTTCCATCAAAATCAGCGGTTCTCAACCTATGGGTCGCGACCCCATTTGGGGTCGATCGACCATTTTTCAGGGGTCGCCAAAGGCGGTGATCTGCCATTTTCTCCCCCCAGGGGGCGCCGCCGCGCATGGGTGCCGCGCATGGGGGTGCCGCCGTGCATGGGCACCGCGCATGTGCATAACGTTTGTGTGACGGGGGTCGCCGTCACACAAACATTGAGAACCACTGATCAAAATCAATATAAGAAAAGTTGGTATGTATGTACTTCTCATATTTTACCAAAAATGTTTCAATAGGCCCATGAGCGCCAAATATGTCCATTTTGCATGGAAGTCTGTTGTTCAAGCTACACAATTTCAGCTCAGAGAAGACTTTTCGATCTTGGCTGCATTCTGTAAATCCAGATTCTAAAATAAATCTATAGACTTTCACCCCAAAATCTAAAAACGCACTCAATTTATTCTATAATTTTTCTTAGTTATCGAGCACCATAACATCAGAACTCCTTTCCTGGTTACTGGTTTTTATCAGTTGCCTTTGGTGAGATGAGTGACTATATACATTTGACAAATAAATAAAATCTTGGGGTAAAAGGTACTTACTACTTACTTCCAGTGGACTGCCTTTATGTTTTCAAAGTGGGCTTTTCTTACCTTACAATAGTACAGTAATTTCTCAAGGAAATCTTATTGCTTAAGCTCTCAGCACTACTGATCTTCATATTGGCTTACTTTGAAATGTCAAATTCAAAAGTAAGTAGTACTTTTGACATGGGAGCTAGGTAACATATCTTTGCCTGTTACAGAATTAGTTCTACCTATGATTTTTGCCCCTTCAGCATTAGCAGCTCTGGTTCAAGCAATCTTAGCTTCAGTGGAGATTTCAGTTCAGTTGCCATCCAAACCAGGTGCTGCTTCACTGCCACTTAGAATCTTTTCTGGAAGCTCATGGACTAATACATTTATTAAGGTGATTACTGGATTTAAAAGCTTTTGTTTTGAACTGGTTGCCCATTCTTTCTCCAGACTAGCTGATAAATGACCAAGAGATCTCTCTCCATATGAGGAAGCCCACTCTTAAACTCCTGTTCATTGACCCAATAAACCTTATTTCATTTCACCCGCAAGCTTATCCAAATGGCTATTGAATATTGTATTGGATGTCATCCAGGCTCCATCAGTTATGAGTGAGTAGGTATGTGTACCAGGTGCCCATTCCTTTACTTCCAGTGGTTCTTAGATTGGCAAGAATGCATAGCAGAAGCTGCTTATTATGCTCCATGCTTCTAGGTAAGTAGGGAACCTATTAAAGATGAAGGATGACAGTTACCACTTTCTTGCCTCGTCATTTATCTTAACCTCCGTAACTGTTGAGTATGGCCCAGCACCAAAATTGGAACCTGTTGACAGACAGGGAAAGCAGGAAATTCAACTTCAAAGAATGTAATTCTTACAGTATTCAGTCAATGCTTTGTCCTAGCATACCACTAATCCCCAAGCTCCTACAGGCTATTACCAACAATTTATGTAGGGAAAGACAAGTGATTGTTCAGGGGGGAAAGAACAAACAAGGAGTTACTATCTTCTTTTTTTTTTTTTTTTTTTTTATTAAAAGTTTTATAAATTTTACAAAAAAAACAAGAACAATACAGAACAAAAAACAACATATACAAAAGAGAAAAAAAATTAAACAATACATATAAAAAAAAAAACCCCACCCCACACCCCTCCCAAAAACCCTCCCTTCCCCCCCCCTGAGCTTCCCAGAGCAGAATATAGGCTTAAGAAATAATAAAAAAAAAAAAATAAAAATTAAATTAAAAACTTTATATTTATATATATAAAAAAGATATCTATAATATATATAAAAATAAAACTTATGAAAAGGCTATATAATATTTTTGTATACCCAATCTAAATTGTATAAATTTTATCCATTTGTCCCAGATAACAAAAAACTTCTCTTGCGTTTGTTGCTTTAAGAAAGCCGAAATCTTTGCCATTTCCGCCAAATAAGCTACTTTAAAAAACCATTCCTGCAATGTAGGCAAAGAGTCCTTCTTCCAATATTGTCCAACCAACAGCCTCGCGGCTGTGATCAAGTTTAACATCAATACAACCTCCTTTGTATCACAATCTGTAACAATACCTAACAAAAATAAGTGCGGAGTGAATTTTACCCTCCTTCTAAAAATTCTCTGGATATTCCACCATATTTTGATCCAAAATGCTTTTATCTCTCTGCATGACCACCAAATATGATAATAGGAAGCCTCCTTGTAACCACATCTCCAGCAGAGTTACTATCTTCTTTATCATCATGCCAAGCAACAAATCATAGCAGCTTAAGATGTGGTCATGTTTTAGCAAGTGCTGCCTGCTTCGTGTAGTGTCAGGGATGAAAGAAATAACATCTCAGTCCCTCCACTCTTGTGTCATATCATTTTCTTTCATCATTTGTCATCTAAAATTCAATGAGCTCCAGTAACAGCACCTCTGACTCATCTCCACAGAAAGGCCCTTCATAGCTCTTTTTTCTTTGCAAATGCTCTTTTTTCCAAAGTTGTGGCTTTTCTTATATGCCTCTTTCTTCAGTTCAGGTCTTCTGAGCCAGACTGCAGGAATTTTTCACAGAAGAATATTCTATGCACATCTAAAGAGCAAATAACATTCTTCACCATTTTTCTAAATAGTAAAGTTAATTGCAGATTCCAAAATCTTTTGGGTGACAGTTCTCAGTTATGCTCTGTTTCTGGATCAGACAGTGCCTTACAGTGCCAAGTGAAATGGCAGGCAGCAACAGCACATGGCAAGGAATACACCATATGGGTCATTTATTAGTGATTGTGTATCTGGGTAAGAACTTGCTGATCCCCAAGAACAAAATGGAAACATTTAAGGAAAAAAAATGGTCGTTTTTTCTCTTTTGTAAATCTTATACTTTCTGTGCTCAGTCATACAACTGACCACTTTATTTATTTGTTGATGGTGTTTATGTGCTGTTTCTCATCATGCAAAATCCCACAACTTGATTTCCTAACATCACAATTGGCTGAATACAGTTTCACAACCAGTGTATTTTTGTACCTGCCATTGGGAAAACTGCTTTGTCCATTAGTGTGATTTTTGCCAGTCTACAGCAGACTGGCTCAGTTTTAATTTATCCTATTTAGGTTTTACTTGGTGCCCTGCACTGAACTTTCCAGCCACAAGGTCATGTTCTCCAGCGTACTTTTTAATAGAATGAATTATGCCCGATATTGGGTCAGTCTCTCTCACACACACACGCACACTCAGCCCAACCCCCCCTCAAAAGGTTATTGTGGGGAAAATAGGAAAAGGAAGGTGTATTAGATACGTTCACCACCTTGAGTTATTTGTTATAATAACAAAGGAATACAGATAAATAAAAAGTTATGCAAATATCCTACATCCATAACTGTTTTGGGAATTCATTAGCTATTATTGGCTAGTGGTTCTTTTACTGATGGATGGCTTCATTTTTTTACGCAGTCCATCAGTGTGATGCCAAGGATCTTACAAATACATTTGCATTTGGAAGGTATCCTGTTTTTAGATCTCTAATTGTAGAAGTATCTGTGATTCAGCCCCATAGAATAGCACTGGTAGTACCGTTGACTGAAAAATTGGTGTATACGGTAATGTTAGGCAGTAAAAGTAAAAGACAGTAACAGTAGACAACAAATAAGTTAACCAAAAGCTGTGGTGGTAGCACCAATTTAGTTTTTATCACTTCAGTTACACTGAGATGTTGAGAGAACTCTCTTTTTCTGTACTATGGAGCTGCAATATTTGAATTCTTTTAATTGTAGCTCATTAGCTACATGACTCTTGATGAGCCATCACCACTCAATATTTTCATATTTTCCATACTGATTACCAATCCAAATGACCATGTTCCCATGGCAAAAATTGCAGCGTCATTTGCATACATTAAGTCGTCAATGAGCTGTCCCTGACCATATTCAAGTCCATGCTTAATGGTGGAGATTTTCTTTCAGGAAGGCATCTATTGTAGTATTGAACAGCAGTTACATTCTTGGCATACCCAGTGCACTCCGGGAAACCCTCTTATAATTCACTTTTGAGGCAAATGCAACTGATTAAGATATTATATCTGTGCTGTAGGAACCATGGGATCTTGCTTGATATTTCTTCAGTGGCCAGCGCTAGCTGAACTTCATTCATTCTTCCATGCCATGATGTAGCATAAATATTTGGTGAAAGCAGTTTGGAGAGAAACCAGCAAGCCTCTTGTTCTGTTTGTTTTTGTATTTGGAATTGTATTGTCCATTGAATATTTTATCAGCTATAGAAAGTAAAACTGTTCCCATGATAAGATCTGCACTTGTGGCGGTCCCCCCTTTTTTTACATATGGAGATTCTGATGGCTTGCTTTGATGTCCAGATCAGAAAGTGGAGAATTAGTGAGCATAATTAATGAGCACAGGTCTTAGCAAAGCTTACCTCCTGACTTCAGTGCTTCTGCTTTGACCTCATCATACACAACCTGCTGTGTGCCTTGCTTTAGTTATTTTATAGCCTCTTCAGTCTCGCTGATTTTTGATCTTGCCTCTGGTGTTGGTTCTGGAGGAAAACCTAAACTCTTTCTGCAAGTGGTACATTATTTCGTAATGATTATATTGTAGATGTTATATTGAAGTGGTATATCATTTCGTAATGATTATATTGTAGATGTTCAACTTTTCACTAAAGGTACCATGGGGTTTGCAAATGTTATCACTGAAGTTATGCATCTGACCTCCAAGATGGTGCAATATAGTATATAATATACAGTATTCTTGTTGCCAAGCTACTTTTTGTGACTCTGCAGCAATATTATCCCAGTACTGTCAACCCAGCCATATAGATAGTAACACATCTATATGCCGGTCCCAAGCCCGGATAAATGGGGAGGGTTAATTCCCTATTGAGGGAATCAAAAAAATCAGGCACCTATCTACATAAATAATGGAAAAGAGATTTTTTTTTACTGAAAATCCAAAAGCAAACTATAATAGTCATAAAATAAATTAAAAATCACACAAAAAACTTAATAATTAAATAAATTAAATTAAATTAACTAAAATAGAACCATGGCTAGAGAGAAGGCCAAAAAAAAGATGGGTTTTAAAGAGTTTCAAGTATCTCTTTAAATAGTTTTGGGGCTCAGAAGGGAGATGCTGAAAATCTCATTTACAGATTTGTCAAATTTACACATGTAGCTTGATCAGTGTGAACTGATATGTTTAAAGAAAGCCGTACCTTGTTAAATATTGTAGAAGTTTCTGCATTTTCTCTCCAAATACGAATGGTCTTAGAAAAAAAATAGAATAGGTTGTATTCAGAGATGCTAATCTACTATTGCTATTATATTCTCCAGTGAAATGGCCTTTTCTCCTTTTGTTCATATTCTCCAAATGAAGTCGAGTGTTGGAGGTAAACACCAGAGCAAATCAGAGAAATGGAAGAGAAGGCAGAAATCTGTCTGTACCATATTAGTTGTTGCCCATTGTGAAAATACTGTAGATTTTCTGTTAAATTATTGTTTTGGTTACCTGTTCATTTAGCAAACCATAATGACAATATCCTTGTACAACAACAACAACAGATAATGTGTTTAACTATCTTAGATTCTTGAAAAGGATCCAATAGTGAAAAGTAGGAAAATTAGTCAGAACTGTCTGATAAACTATGGGTACATAATAATAATAATATCATCATCATACATCAAACTGAATGCTTCCAGATTTTTTATACTTCCCCACAAGTCAATAGTATCATCTTGGATAAATGTTCTCCTATAATCAATTTATTGTATAGGTATATTATAGCTGATATAATAAAATATGGTGGATATATCACAGGTTCTGTATTTTTTGCTTTATTTTGTGCCTTAGGAATTTAAGTTCTGCAGGAGAAGAGGCAAGGAAACAAATGAGATCTTGTGAAGGATTGGTTGATTCTTTGTTATATGTGATCCATACTTGTGTGAACACTTCTGATTATGATAGCAAGGTACGCAAATGTTTTAATTATCAATTTTCTTTTCAAATAAGAGTTATATAGAATTGATAGATGTCTATATTATTTTAAGTCAGAATTTGTCTTTTTGTTACTGAATAATTTGTATGTGAAATGTCACCATTAGTACGTTTTTTGTGCGGACAGACAACTTAAATAGACAAGAGGTTTGTTGTTGTTGCTGTTGCTGCTGTTTACTTTTCAGCCCTTTCTAGTTCCTATTCAGCCTTTATTCCAATTTAGCATTTTTAAGAAAAAAAAACTATACTTGTTGTTTAAGGAAGATTTCACTGTAATAAAGTTTGTGAACACCTACAGGAGGGTGCTAGTTATATTAGCACTATCTGATACTGACAATAATTCATTGTTAGTACTTCAAAATAAGGAAAACAGTTGGGATATACCACAACATCTTAAAATATCTATATCATTTCAGCAAAGATGAAAAAAAAAAGTCACAATACAGCCAAAAAGACAGAGTCAGCTTTGAGGTGCCATGTTTGTTAAATTTCAGATAGGATTGATGTTTCTTATTACTTCAATATCACAAATTCAGGATTTGAAAAACGCAGTACTTTAGGAATTTAACATGATTTTTTTATATTAATCATTCTATATGAGTTGGATAGCATTATGATATTAAAAGATTAGAAAATTTAATCGTCATTGCTTTACTTGGAGAAGTGAAAAACCTAAGGAGAAATAGCTTGATCCTTCCTTCCTTCCTTCCTTCCTTCCTTCCTTTCCTTCCTTCCTTCCTTCCTTCCTTCCTTCCTTCCTTCCTTCCTTCCTTCCTTCCTTCCTTCCTTCCTTCCTTCTCAACACAATATTCCCTAAATAGTCTCTAAACTTTATCTGCCAAATCATTATTGGATTTCTTTGAATCTCTTCCATTTCACTTTTAGACCGTCGAAAACTGTGTCTGCACACTTCGGAACCTTTCTTATCGTCTAGAGCTTGAGGTTCCTCAAGCCCGCCTTCTTGGCATCAGTGAGCTGGATGACTTTTTGGGGAAGGAATCGCCCAGCAAAGATTCTGACTCAAGCTGCTGGGGAAAAAAGAAGAAGAAAAAGAAAAAAACTTCGCAAGAGGATCAGGTTCTTTCTTTTCTTTTTTTTTTCCTTTTTTGCGTAGTAACTCTCTTAGGAATACCCAAAAGAAGTTTTCCATTATCTATTTATATTGCAGTGGAAGCTTTTTATGAGAACATTGAGTCACTATACGTTAAAAAGAAACAACTGTTTGAACGTAATTATTTTTATTGTGCTTATTTTGTACAGTGGGATGGAGTTGGTCCAATACCAGGGTTGTCCAAGTCTCCTAAAGGTGTGGAAATGTTGTGGCACCCATCTGTTGTAAAACCATATCTAACTCTTCTAGCTGAAAGTTCCAATCCGGCCACTTTGGAGGGTTCTGCAGGATCTCTTCAGAATCTTTCTGCAGGCAACTGGAAGGTAGTACAGGAAATTTGGGAGTAGTGATAGTTCATTCCTCCTGCCTTTACAACATTGATATTTGTGATGTAGACTATGAAATTTGGAGTATGAGTTGCAATATTACAGCTAACTGCAAAGAGTTTTTTTTTTTTTTTAATCCAACTGCTTGAAATCACAAGGTCTCTCCTGAAATGTTTCTAAAGTTACTTCAATCTAACACAGTGGTTCTCATCCTTTCTAATGCCGTGACCCCATAATACAGTTCCCTGTGTCGTGGTGACCCCCAGGGGTGAGGCCAAGTAGGTGTGGCCACCAATAAGAGGGAGTAGGACAGCTAGGGAAAAGGGAAAAAAATGGCGAACAGCGTAGTTTGGTGACCCCCATGAAATGGTTGTTCGACCCCAAATGGGGTCCCGACCCACAGGTTGAGAACCACTGATCTAACAAAACTTGAATCTACAAGTAGGATCATATGACTGTTATTCAGCTAGTAAAAGTAATTGACCTGATTCCCGATAATGCATTTGCAACTTATCTACAGATTTAACAGTAGGTTGCAATTCTGTGAAGTCTGGAAGGGCATCCTCAGAGACACACGATATATTTTTAGGGCTAGAAAAAGAAGATAGGATTTTGAAGGACAAATGTGTATAGGTATTTAGGCATTCTTTCTTAGCCATCTGAAAAAGCTTTGGTACTGGAACCAGCAAGAAAAGGGAGAAGGTTCATAGACATTCCCTGAGCATGCTAGGAATCTTTTCTTCCTTTTCTCGGGCTTCTAATATGGTCATAGAATAGAGGAAGAATTATGCTGACCTTGAAGCTGATGTAGTTCATGACCTTACCATTGCTGTCAACAACAATTGCAAGACCTGGAAAGTGATATGTGGGCCTCTAAACAACATTCTGTCCTTCTGAAGAACAAACAGCATGGTTTGGGGATCCTGGCAGGTAAATCGCAGCTCTACATCAAAATGTAGAACTGCTTTTCCAGTCATTGTCATGCATAGTTAGGCCTTTATATCTAGGCCAATTGAACAAAGCCAATTGCTCCTCAACATTCATTGTTTAATAGAAGTGGAAAATCAGAGAGTTGTTTGAATATTCATTGCATTCTTTTCAGATCCAGTGACTAAATTCAAACAAATGCTAAATGTTAAGATACATCTGAAGGTATTCTTATATTTTGAACATTTTGTATCAATCAATTTTATTTTGGTCATAGACCAGCATAGAACTAATAATATAACAATTAATAATAATAATAATAAAGTTGGAAGGAACCTTGGAGGTCATCTAGTCCAACCCCCTGCTTAGGCAGGAAACCCTACACCATTTCGGATAGATGGCTCAAAAACAAACATAAAAATAAAAAATTCAAATTGATAGAAGAAAATAAGGTGTGGATAAAATGATCCCTTTGCAGGGCTTCAGCAAGTATTAGACTTAATATAATAATGATGATGATGATGATGATGATGATATTGGAAGGGACCTTGGAGGTCATCGAGTCCAACCCCTGCTCAGGCAGGAAACCCTACACCATTTCGGACAGATGGCTGTCCAGTCTCTTCTTTAAAACTTCCAGTGTTGGAGCATTCACCACTTCTGGAGGCAGGTTTTTCCATTGGTTAATTGTTCTAACTGTCAGGAAGTTTCTCCTTAGTTCTAGGTTGCTTCTCTCCTTGGTTAGTTTCCATCCATTGCTTCTTGTCCTGCCCTCAGGCACTTTGGAAAATAGCTTGACTCCCTCTTCTTTGTGGCAGCCCCTGAGATATTGGAATACTGCTATCATGTCCCCCTCGTCCTTCTCTTCATTAAACTAGACATACCCAATTCCAGCAACCGTTCCTCATATGTTTTAGCCTCCAGTTCCCTAATCATCTTTGTTGCTCTTCTCTGTACTCTTTCTAGAGTCTCAGCATCCTTTTTACATCGTGGTGACCAAATCTGGATGCAGTATTCCAAGTGTGGCCTTACCAAGGCATTGTAAAGTGGTATTAATACTTCCTGTGATCTTGATTCTATCCCTCTGTTAATGCAGCCCAGCACTGAGTTGGCTTTCTTGGCAGCTTTACATTCTTGTAATATCTTAAAATTTCTAATATCATTATGGTCTTTTTAGTTATCTGTCCTACTTATTTGTAGCAAGTATGGCCCAACCAATTATAACCAAGAAATAGCAGAGTAAAACATAGAATTTTATGTGCATATTTAAAAGGAAAAGAGAAAAGGCAGGGAGAAAATGGGGAGAGAAAATACATTGAGTTATGGAAGCCTAGTTAAGGTTCAGCATCACCTCACTTGAAGGAGTTGTTTACATTTAATCATAGTTCTGATACAGAAGTAGCCTACATTCTTTGAAATCCCTGCTTCCAGTCAATTAGCAAGAGATTAAGGCGGGGTCTTCAAACTTGGCCCTTTTATGACTTGTGGACTTCAACTCCCAAAATTCCTCAGCCAGCATGCCTGCCTGAGGAATTCTGGGAGTTGAAGTCCACAAGTCATAAAAGGGCCAAGTTTGAAGACCCCTGGACTAAGGCAATCGGCCTCTGCTGCCTAGGTATTTATGTTATACACATAGGGAAATACAAGTATCTCATAGATTTTTTTTTTTTAAAGGCAATGCAGCAAAACATGTCCCATGGTTTCAAATTCCCCCTCCTCTCAAGGACAAAGCTACAACTCTTCTCTCCTAATTTTTCTTTAAAAAATAAGCTATTAGAGATGGATGGTGGTTCTTGATCACTGCCTTCTGCAATTTATAAATCTGATCTTTTACAGCATATAACAGGAACAAAAAAAATCGTTTTTTTCAGGAGAAAAATAGCACTCTGTTAAGAGCATCTTGTCTGAACATAGTTTTATAACTGTGTAGTATCATTTATCATACTTTTTAGATTATATTCTTGTAAAATTCAAAAATCTAGCATTTGTTTAGTAAAAGAAAAAGAATTTAATTCAGCTAATTGACTTTGCTGAAATACAGCTAGGTTTCCAGCAAAAAGTAAGAAAAAAAGTGAAAGACAAAGATACTGGACTACAGAGTTCGTCAACATTCCTTTTCAAAGTATTTTGTCATTCCAAGGATTTTTTTTTAATACCTACTTTGGAAGATACTTATAAATAAATAACATACTGCTATGTTAAATTGCTTCAGCAGCTTAACTTTCCAAACATTTTGTCTTTATTCTATAAGTGTCACTGCATCTTTAATGGCTATTGAAACAATGATCACATAATTTAGTATTTTAATTCATTTTATTTCTCTATGACTCATAAGAAAAAACCTTTCGAGCTCAATCAGTGCCAAACCCGCACTTAATTTAATGGGTGCTGGATGCAGGATTCCCATTTATAGTTAGAATAAACTCATTTGAAAAGCTATAAAATAAATTTTGAAAAGATATAAAAATTTATGTTTTGAAAGGTAATTTCAATGGATTCATAAATAAGAAAAGACTTGTAAGTAACTTTTATTTTTATGCAACAGTTTGCAGCATATATTCGAGCGGCTGTCAGGAAAGAGAAAGGACTTCCAATTCTTGTGGAATTGCTAAGAATGGACAATGATAGAGTTGTTTCTTCCGTGGCAACAGCCCTGAGAAATATGGCACTAGATGTGCGTAACAAGGAGCTTATTGGTGAGTATTGAGGGGTACTTCCAAACTATAAATACAAGAAACTTTGAAGACGTGTTTTAAAGAAATCATTTTAGAATTCTATTATCCATTCCATCATGCCTCTCCACTGTGAAAAACTGCCACCAAAGATAAATTAATTTGGGTGGAATTTATATTTGCTGAACTTGATTGGATTTTTTTTTCAGTTTCAGTATAACCATAGATCTTTTACATCTAATGGTGGGTTCTGACAGCTCCCGAAGATGCTTTTCCTTTGGAGATTTACAGGTTTTTTGATAAAAAAAAATAATTTTAAAACCTTATTTTTAACTTTTGTATTTCTCTCAAAATGGCAATGTGGATAAGTAAGACCCATTTCTTACCAATAAGCCACTCTTCCCTTCTTCCTCTGGATTTCTTTTTATAAATGAAGGAAGAATGTTTATTAATATGTTTATTAGTACAGTCTAGATTATTGGTTTGAGTTCCTGAAAAGCCTATGAGTAGGAATTGATTTGGTATTTCATCAAACCAGATGAATTTGCTTGAAATGTAGCTTGCCAGCTAAGAAATGTTCTTTCTTGTAGAGCAGAAAGTATATGAGGTTACACTTTTAGATCTGAACCCAAGTTTTTTATGAAGTTTAAATCAAGTAGAAGAAATCAGAATAACGTTCTGGCTGCAATGCTTGGAATACTATGTGCCTTTTGGTATGGCAGTAGACAAAACATTCCTTCAAATACTCCCAATGTGTGGAGAGATTACAAAATTAATTATTAAAAACAGTGGAAACTTATGAAATTCATTAAAAAGTTGTGCAAGGAAGCATTTAAAATATATAAAAGTGATTTTGTGATCACTTAATATAAAAAGCTAGTTAAAACATAGCTAGGAAAATAGGAAAGTTTAAACACACTTTACCTGGGAAACAACACACCTGGGAAAGGGATTCATAGGCAGGGCAAAAGCTTATAACGGGTGTCAAACTCAATTTCGTTGAGGGCCGCATCAGCATTACGGTTGCCCTCGGGGGGCCGGGTGGGTGCAGCCTACTGGGTGGGCATGGATGGAGTGGGTGTGGCCTACTGGATGGGCATGGCCAGCTCTACATTGTTCGTGTCAAGGATGCCTGTGGGGGCCTGGGCAAGAGTGGGACAGATCTGAGGGTCTCTGGCAGAAGGGTGGGACCGAAGCAAGCGCCAAGGCATGGTCCATTTCTTCATTCCTCACAAAGGGTGACATCTCCTCAGTATGCACCCAGGGGGCGGGGCCGACACAGCAGGGGCTGGTTCCTCACTATTTTTAGACGGCCTTGTGGAGCTAAGATTCAGCATAGATGGCCACTACAAAATTGTATATTGGCTCCTGGCTGGCCAGGGCCATGGCAGCGGGGGCCGTTCCCTCACTGTTTCCAGGATGGCTTCACGGGCCACTGAAACCACTTCGCGGGCCACATCTGGCCCTCGGGCCTTGTGTTTGACATGTCTGGCTTATAATATGCCTCTGTACATAATAATACGATTTGGGATTTTGTTTAGCTGAAAGAATAAGAAATGGATTTGGGATAAGGAACCAATGGATTTGATCAATTGGTGAAATGATACCAGGGTGATGCATCTGGTATTTCATGATGAGAATGTGCTAACATTTTGTTAGCCATGTTCTAGCTTCTTCAGACGTGCTTAATATCATGATAAAATGTATAAATTCAAACAGGCTTCAACATTTTCTGTAAAATGTAGGGCTCATGCAGCAGATAAATCATGGACATCATAACTTGAAGAATCATTTATGCTGCATCTGTTTTATCATCTGACAGCTCATAAAAATTGAGAGAAGTACTGAAAAAAGGATGAGATACATACTCAGTTCACATTTCAATGAGGCACAAGCTGAGAAATTGGCATCAACTGGAGGGGATGACCCATCCCCTCCTCTTTGGAGACTATAAATGTTTAAATGTATGATCGATCGTAGTTTTTACTTAAATACTGAAAGTTGTCTGCGGTTACTATAGCACAGAATTAATGCTTTTCTCATCTATATATTATTGAAAAATTTGTCATGTCTTTTATCTGGGTAAAACAGTGCGCCATAGGACAACAGTGTTTGAACCAAGGGACCTCAAATGGACTAACTTACCAAATGTGTCCAAAATACAGAATCAGTGACTCCTTAGAGCATGAAATTTGGGGAGGTTGTGGCTGCTTCAGGCTGCTGCAGTCACATGATAGTCATTTTTTAAAAAACAAGTTTTATTAATTTTTTTAATTTTTACATCCCAAGTAATTAGGAAGCAGCATGGTGATAGGGTAATCAAAAATCCAATAACAGAATCATTCTTATATATCTCAGGTTACCTCATTAAAAGTTCCCTTTCTGTTTCCCTTAATTTTTATATCATATTCAAGTTAATACGTTTCTAGATAGGGCTGAATCAGTCAATACATTTATCAGTAAAATTTTAGTTATACATATCCAAATCCTGTTTTTTAAGTTTTACTTAATTCCAATTACCATGTTCCAATTTAGCCATTAATAACCAATAATTAAACTTCGAGTAACCCTAATTTCCCTCATTTCATTACTAAATAATTGTCGTGTCTAGAATACATATATTATTCCGAAAATTAAATTCTTACTTTATTTCACAAATATATTCTATTTCTCGTCCTGATAGCTCCTCATTTGCTAATAAAATATCTTTCTGTCACAAACCCATTTCCATATTATAACTCAAAACTATAATCTAACAATTAATTTTCATTTACATTATAAATCTAGGTCCTAAATATTAAATCAATCAATATCTCTAAAAATCTCCTTAACCCGTTAAATAGAATTTTAAGCTATTCCATCATCAATCAAGAAGAGAAGAAGAAAAAAGACAAAAAGAAAAAGTTTTTAAAATTTTTAAAACTAACTCTGGCTTTCTTTTTTTGCCAGGCAGGTTTCCATACCAGTGCCTTTAAGTCCTCAAATAGGTCTCCCTTCATTCCTACACATATTGTTTGAATCAAGGGAGAACAGCCAATTATCAATTTTTCAAAGGAACTGGCCCCTTTGTAGTTATTAGGTTGTTGGCCTAATAATTCCAATCTCCCTGTTTGGTTTAAAGTGTTTATCATCACTTCAGTCTGGTCTTCTTCTTTTTCTTCCAATTTCGTCTGACTAGAGTAGAAGGTCATGTCCAGTGTTGTAGTTATTAATTGATTTTCTAGATTGTTTAGGTTCTCAATGTGTTGTATTTGTTGTTCAGTTCCTGTTGCTTTTGGAGTTAAGGTACTTTAGTTGAAATCAGTATTTGGTTATCAAAGTTCTCAATGTTGTACGTCTTGTTGTGTAGAATCCTCTTTAGTATTAATTTGTTCCTCTTCTGTTGTTTTTTGGCTTGTAAGTTGATTAGTTGGCATCTGGGGTTCAATTTGTACTTTTGGGGTAACATCTTTGGCTTTTACTCTGGAATTCATTAACTCCGTGGCTTTAAGAATTTTTTCAAGTATAAGTTTATAGTTAAGTTGTGGTTAGAGATAGTCTTTTAGTGGAGGCTATGCTTAGTAAGAGTCCAGTGTCCACCTCCACAATTTCTAGAAGTTGTTTTCGCCACCCAGCTATTTCCAACTCTTATCTTTTTTTAGATAATGTGAATGGCAAATCAAGGGAGTCAACAGGCAGAAAAATGCAGTTGCTGTACCAGGCTTTGCCACAAGATGTCCCCTACAGGCTATGAATTCTTTTTCCAGACGCCCATTAGGTTTTTATTCCAGTTAGAAAAAGGAAAAGAAGATATTTTTAAAAAGTTAATAAATAGATAAAATGATAGGTCTCTATAATAGGAATTTTTTGGGACCCCAAAGTATCCAAAAATAAAAATCCAGTTATTTAGTTGTTGAGATTAGTTATTCTTTTCTTTTATTTTCAAGAGTTAAATTCCCAAAGTAGGCAAATGCCGCTGTATTAAGAGCAGGGGAGAAGTTTCAGGAGGCTTTCACAGGAAAGTAGTTAGGATAAAAGAGAGGTAAGGAAGGGTCTCACCCAACTTTCGGCTGGTGAGACTTGGTGATCGACCATGTTAATGGACAATCTTTTCTTCTTCGGTCCTGAGGAACTGCCTTGGCTGCCGCCCCTCCACAATCTAGTGAGGATCCTCCTCAATGGTGGTCGCCCCTCCAGGGTCTTCCGAAGAAGGAAAACCGGACAGCGGAGAGAGGGCTCTTGCTGAACATCTGCTGGCGCTGCGATCCAGAACCGGAAGCCACATGATAGTCATTTTGAACATTCCATGACAATTTCCCAGCCAATCTTGCTCCTTCCCCACCCAGCACTGAGAAATTGACTCATCATGTGGCTCTTAAAGAAGCAACAACTATATCTGACATAAACATAGGCCTGGATATTCAGTCAAATAAATACATTAGCCAATTTGTCTTAGTCCTTGCCTGTTTCATTTTTCAACTGCTCTTACTTTGAAAATGAATATTGACCAACCCCTCCTTCAGCCACTGGAGATCAGGTAGTGGTTCTCCACCTTTTCTTCACCGTGGACCCCCAAGACTCAAGATTTAAATCATAACATTTCTTCAAGCCTTCGCAGACGACAAGTTGAGAACCACTGAGGTAGACTAATCCTGCCCTAGCCCTCAGGAAGTCATGCGATCATATTTTTAAATGGGCTCTGACAACTTCCTACATCTCAATGAAGATTCCTGCAGAACTATTCTCAAAGAACTCTATCTTGGGTTCCCTCCAATGAAGCAATGAGAAAAATCAATTCCACATGCATTACACGTGTCCCCGAAATGATGAAAAAATATTATTCCTTCAGTACTGTCAGTGAAGGAAACAATACTACTCATTTTCCAATAGAATTCCTTGATTCAATAGCAGTCTGTTCATAGTCGTTCTGTTTCTCTATTTCAGGAATGAAATATCTGGGAAAGGATGACCCAAACAGGGCACGACTTGTCTAATTAAATCCAAAAATTATGATTTATATCCATATACATTTCATGTTTGTAAAAAAGAGACTAATTAAAAGTCCCTAAATTGTATCAAGCCAAAGCTTGAGGTCATTGTTTTTTTTTATCATGCAATGTCCATCTTTTCCTTTCTAAGAGATTCACAGAGATTATTTGTAACAGGTGAAAAATGAAGCAAGCAGAATATCTGTGCCCTATTCATACCTTTCAAAGAACAGACCCATAATGTGAAGAACTGGTTTTTCTCTTCTATACACATTTATTGCCTCCATACTCACTAGAGCCAAGATTAGGTCGTAACATTGATCTTGTTTTGTTGTCTGCGTATTCCATGTTATGCTTGAAAGAAAAAGGGAGAGCAGCCTGCTGAAATATCTGCCATGTTTCAAGAAACCACATATTGAAAGCTATGCAATTAATTCAACTGTGCCTTTTTATCTTTAAAAATAGCTCAGCTAAAACAAGGTTATCTAAAATAAGTAAACAGATTTGTATATGTCTGTGTACTTTGGCTTCTTGCCAGAATCATTTTAATCACATTTTCCCTTAATCCAATAAATGAATCTAGTACATATTTTTTTAATTTGAAAATTGATGTTGCAGTACCTAACTTTTTCCCTCTAAACCAGTGTTTTTCAACCTCAGCAACTTTAAGATGGATAGACTTCAATTCCCCAAATTCCCTAAGCAGCATGGAGAATGATGGAAGCTGAAGTCCACCCATCTTAAAATTGCTGAGGTTGGGAAACACTGCTCTATATAAAGAGTTGCATAGGACTATTTATTTTTTTATGAAATTAATTTTCCCATATTAAATAGAACCTCCTTCCATTGTTTTTGAATGTGTATATTTCTCCGTATCATCATTCTTTATGATGATGAAAGTATATACTGTGGCATAATTCATTGCCTGCTTTTCAGGTAAATACGCTATGCGGGACTTGGTAAATCGCCTTCCAGGAGGCAGTGGGCCCAACATTCTCTCTGACGAAACAGTAGCAGCCATCTGCTGTGCTTTGCACGAGGTCACCAGTAAAAACATGGAAAATGCCAAAGCTTTGGCTGATACGGGAGGAATAGAAAAACTGGTGAACATAACCAAAGGAAGAGGGGACAGGTCAGTACCGGATGTTTGAATTTCTCCAATAGAAGCCTTCGGTAGCTTCTGAGAACAGGAATGTATCAAATTAAGGAAATAGCTGTTGATTTGGGGAACTTTGTTTCCGCACTGTCCGCTTATTAAATTCACTGACTAGCCTTATATGTGTTAGTTTGGGAGGAAATAGAGGAAACTTAGCGTCTTTCCTGTTTTCATTTTCATAAGGTCCACACAGTGCCTGCCACTCTCCTTGTTACGGAGCATTTATTTGTAAGCACTTTTCTTGCAAACTGCTTCAGGATTAAAAATTTCTGTAAATGCCAGTGATATTTATCGCTTTTCCAAGTTGATGCTGTACACCGGATCAAAGAAAATGTGGGTATATATGTGCTCACATATATATGTCTTTCTGTGTGTATTTGTTGGAACCTCCAGCCAAAGGCTGGTTGGAGTCATAAAAAGACAATGTCTGCCTGATCATTAAAAGGTGGCTATGTTGCAAAGCATGAAAAAGCTGCTGGGAATGTCTGCTGTGAAAGTGGAAAAAAAGAGAGAGCGAAATGAAGGATGCGATAATGAAGCATTAAATTGTGTTTGAAGTCTAGTCTCTTTTCTCTATCGCTATCTTTCTTGGTTTACTCTCAGTGCCACTTAGGGATGATTTTTTAAATTAGATTAAATATGTAATTCTTATGCATATGTAAGGACACTGGGTCACCTGTACCAAAGGAATTCTTGCTCTCTACTTCTATACACACGAACAATTGTTACTGAGGTTGTGGGATTCTCCTAAATGAAATGAGGTGTGTGAAAAGACCTTGAATGTTTACAGAAGCACTTGCCAATCCAAGCCAGTGGCCCTAATATGACACATTTTTGTATTCAGTTTTGTTGCCGCATGCTAGTCAATACTGCCAGCCGACGCAATCTTGATTATTTAAAAATGTCAGTATATTTTTTTAGCCATTATATTTGTCAAAGTGCATAAAAGTACATTTCAGTTGAATTATCAAATTCCTAAAAGCTGCTTTGATGATATAGCAGTGATCCTTCAGATGCTGCATTAGTTATTTGCTTGTTTCCTGTTATTACTTGTAAAGCTTTATATGCATAGGTCTAGATTACCTTCAGGGCTTCCTACTTCAGACAGAATTACCAACTTTATTTGATTAACCTTTAAGAAGATGTCTAGGTGTCTCCTCCTCATCAGATTACAGGGAGTGGTGTGAAAGTAGGTTGTTTTTTTTTTTACAGTCGCTGTGTCTCTTTTGGCTCCAACACTCAAAAGAACTAAATCTTGGCCTGGCTCTTTAAGAATTATTTGGAGATCGTAAGATTGGTGCCTGGGATTGTTTCTTAAGTTGTATTATAGAATTTTTTTTAAATATTTTATTCTTATTACTAGGGCTTTGAATTCTGTTATTCTCATGTTCAGTGTCTTAGTGGTTCAGATTCTTTGGGGCAGAGCAGAATACAGTGTGAATGAATTAATGAATGAATGGCAATTAATAAAATAAAGGATATGAGGAAAATATAAATAAATAAATGGCACTGTGTGCATGTTCCAATCTCATAAGGTAAAATCAAACCCAGCAGGTTCAACAAAATAAAGGAGGAGAATGAAAGTGAAATTCTAGCTTCAGGAAAAGAAAAGTCATGTTTAGAGGTCATCATTGATAGAAAGCCTGATTTTCATAAACAATTAGACCAGTGTTTGTTAAATCTTTTGTAAGTAATCCCAAAGAAAAGTTTGAAAAATGCATGGATCTCCAGGTTAAAAGAACCTGGCCTACATGTTCATACAAAATACCATTTTTCACTGAATGATAATTATAGTTGCATTTGTGTGTGCCTTCCCGTCCACCCCATTTTAAAAGTCCCTTTTAATCAAATTTATTATGTACCAAAAAATTAAGTCAGTCAGTCATTTTATTTTGATCATGGACCTGCAAAAAATTTTTTTTGAAACAAAGGTATATATTTAACTTGTTAAATATCAATACAGCTCCAAAATTTTCAACATAACGATTTAAATTATTTTGTGCGGCGTATATCATATATATCAACTCTTAGCACAAACCTGCCCATTTTTCAACAGAACCCATCAAATTTCCCATTCCCATTCTACTTCTTGAGTTGCTATAGTCACAATCACAGTTCCATGTAGCACAGTACACCATGGATGCAGAGTGGGTAACTAAATGGATGCCTCTTCGGGGGGGGGGGATTACTATTTTAATAACAGTATCCATGTGCCACTTCTGAACTTCAGTGAATTCAGTTTTTATGTATTCCTATGAAGCAGCTGACTGGCAGGGAACGACACTGAGAGGTGGGGATTGAAGTGGTGTATTCTGCCCAGCCAGCTGGCTGATGGTGAATGCAGGGAGACTACAGTTGTCCTTGTGTGGCTCAATTCTGAGTCACAGACCCTAGTTTGAGAATCACTGCTTTCAGCTTATATGGAAGGAGCTGTTCAGAACTCACATCATGTAAGCCAAAACCTGCATCTTTAACTGAGTTTGTAAATGGATTGGTAACTAAGGCATTTTTAAATGAAGTATGATACATTCAAGCTTGTTTCTGCTAATGAATGTCGAGCCCTGTTGTTTTCATTTGGAATGGCTACATAGTCAAAGCTATGCATGGCAATCTCCACATTTTTTTTTTTTTTAAAAAAAGAAGCTTGCTGTGATCACATCCGGAAATACCCCAAATTTAAATAACACTGGATTTTGCATTTTGTGGACTCTAAAGCAATAAACACACAAATAAAAACACAAATGTTTATTAAGCAAAGCATAGCAAAAGGGTAACTTTAACTAAAAAACATAATATAGATAGAAAATATTCATAGGCAAGGGAACAAGACACTGCATCATCCAACAGAAAAGCGTAAATATAGAAAAGAATCTCATATCCCTTTAGTATCCCTCATCCTCATCGGGCATTTCCCAGATTATGCTCTCTAGCATTTAGCACCTTTCCTCATTAGATCGGTGGTGCTACAAGTCTATAAAGAGGTTCATTTCTTAGTGGTAATTTAATGAATATTTGTCTTCCCCTCTTTCTGAACCACTTAAATTAATTCTTCCTAGGTGCTCTTAACTATACCACAGCCATTCCATAAATAAAGAACACATCTGGATAGATCAAAAAACCCCACCTGTCCATGCCAGTCTAACTCCCTACACCAGGTGGTTTTGAAATATACATCACAGTATGCTGGCATAACTGCTACAAGGTGAAATACATGTATCATGCTACCCAAAAAGGATAGGCATATGAATTAAGTTCTCTGTTAACCTATCAACTCTTGGTTTACAGCCTTTATGCACTTCAGTCTCCTAAAAAGGAAGAGCCGTGCACATAGTAAAAGGGTGCATTTGGTTTTCTCCTCATCTTTTTTCCATGGGTACAGTCAAGGTCCTTTGCTATCTGGGCCATAACCTGTTTGTTTTATAGCAGTGGTTTTCAACCCTTTTAATGCCGTGACACCCCCCCCCAACCGGTCATAAGTCGAGGACTCCTCAACCGGTCGTAAGTCGAGGATTACTCAACTGGTGCAGCACCGTTTGCAGAATGGGGCTTTTGTCGGGCTCAGCAGGGCAGAGACAGCCTGGACAATTCCTATTGGCTTTTGAAAGCCAATAGAATTAGACCCTATTCAAGAGAGTCTATTCTATTGGCTTTCAAAAGCCAATAGAATAAAAGGGAGTAGCACAGCTAAGGAAAAGGGGAAAAAATGGCTGACTGCATTGTTTGGCGACCCCCGTGAAATGTTCGTTCGACCCCAAATGGGGTCCCGACCCACAGGTTGAGAACCACTGTTTTATAGGGATATGAGACTTCATTTCCAACTTATCCATTTATCTGTTCGTTGCTGATAGTTCATTTTGATCATAAAATACTGATGTTCTTTCAAGTGAATTATGGTTCACGTAAAGCAGAAGTTAATTTTCAGTCAAGGAATGTTGCTAGCAGATCCATGTTAATCTAATAGAACTTCTCACTTTCAGAGCTGCAGACTCTGCTTTCAGAGTTAGATTTTGGGGTTGCAAGAGGAAAATTCTGTTAAAGGAAACTATTTTAACGGTAACTTAGCACTGCATGCCAGCCATTGTGTAGTGTGTGTGCGTGCATGTCTGACACATCTTTTCTTCTTAGATCATCATTGAAGGTTGTCAAGGCAGCAGCCCAGGTGCTCAACACATTATGGCAATATCGTGACCTACGTAGCATTTATAAAAAGGTAATATATCAACTGTTTTTCTCACAAACATAATATTCTTTAAGATTCAATGCCGTAGTGAAGTCTGAACAATTTCTCTTAATTAAATGGAATTTATTTATTGTGACCTTCTTTTCCTTCTTCCACAGGATGGCTGGAATCAAAATCATTTTATTACTCCTGTGTCAACACTTGAGCGTGATAGATTCAAGTCACATCCCTCCTTGTCTACAGCAAATCAGCAGATGTCACCTATTATTCAATCTGGTCAGTCAATCACCTTTTTTGTATGTGCCAAACTTGATATTCATTAACCAAACAGGTTTTGCACACATCTTTTGAAACCTTAGAAAATTGTTCTCTGTCAGCCTCTCTTCTCCTATGCAGTTGAAGCTATCTTTCCTGACTTGATTTTGATATGACAAAATCAAGCAAGGCTAGCTTATAAACTTTTAATCAAAAGCTCTCCAAGGTGACTTCTAAAGCACACAATCAAAGAGAGAATACTTGAAGTTAAACCTTAACAGTATTCATACTGGAACGCTCAGATCAGAGAAAGAGTAA